GGGGTGGGCGGGGGTGGGGCACCCCCGCCGCGGGGGTCCGGGGGTCAAACCCCTACCCCGGCTTTGCCCTTGGGGGCCCCTGCGTGACAACCCTGGCGGCGACACAAATCTGCTGGTGAATCCGCTGATTTGTCGCTAGAGTGCCGTCCTTGAGAGTCTCGACGTCGATTTCCAAGACGTTGACGCGGTCCGTCAAGTTGGAGGGTTCGGTGGGGGTGGCGGTTGTAGGCTGCTGTTCCAGCCAGCGTACCCCGTCAAACGGGTCAAGCAGTTCATTGATAATTCGAATCTGCTTTCGGACCAGGGTGTCCACGCAGAGGATGTCCTCTTGCTGTGCTGCACAGGTGGCGACCAAGTCGCTCACATGTTCGATTGTGGTTGCAAGGCCACGCACAGCGGGGTGGGCACCCTCCTCTTCAGCAACCACTGCCCATTCACCGACGATCACCTCGATGTCCCCCTCGCATTCGAGGATTTTGTCTTGGTGTAGTCGAGGACGTTCATCTGCGGCCTTCCTTGCCACCTCAGCGCCCTCCTGTCGCTGCTGTTCAGCGAGGCGACACTGTTCCTCTGCATCCTCATCTTCCTTCTTACGTGCAGATGTTGCCGCAGCTGCCCGTTGCTTGAATTCTGCTACCATGCCCAGCATGCGGGGCTCATAGGCCTCGGTAGTCTCGCCTGACCGCTGATCCATGCCGCTTGCGTTTGAGCGGGTGAGCACCATGCACTGATGGGACCTGCTGCTCTGGTGATTGGTTGTGTACGTGGCACTGCTGCCGTGTCCTGCTGACATGGCCTGCTGACATGGCAACTCACCAATGCCGCCGCAGGGGGTACCCGGAGGGAGATAGAGAGAAGACCAGAGGGGGCAACAACATAGGTGGGGAGGGGTGGGATAAATCGCCCAGATAAGGAGCCACTAATCAAAAAAGAAAAGTTTGAACTTTGCAAAAAAAAATCGAGGAGAAAACAAAAAAAAACTCGTTAACTTTGCAAGTTCAGTAGGCCTCCCAAGTCCCCTGAAGTGCGAAATTATCCAGGAGAAAAATTTCGACTTTCAGACTGCAATTGATTTTCTGATGCAAGAATTCCGAAAATTTAGTACAATTTTTTTTTTGGAATTACTCAGATGAGAGTACGCGCAGTTGGAGAATGATACCTGCAAGAGGGATTCCCGTACCATTTAAAAAAAAAACGAATTTCGAAATGAAAATATTCCGGACTTCCAAATAACGAGAAATTGCAAAAGGAAATCAAAACTTTCAAAAAAATAAGATATTCCGGATTTTCAACAACGAAATTTTGAATTTTCAGAAGAAAAAACGAAATTGAAAATTTCAGATGTTGCGCTATTGCTATTTTCCACAGCAGAAATGGCGAGAAAACAAAATCCAAGGAAATATATTTTTTTTTTGATTTTCGGCCGCGAGGTCAAAATCGTGATTTTGGGGGCTAACTAGTGTAGTAGTCTGCTCTAATCAAACAATCACGACTAATCAGCTACCTAGTCCCCGCACACGTGTCAGATCAGGTTGTCCTGATTCACGTGCGGTGTTCCGATACCAACTATTACATGCCCAGTTGGGCGATGTACATACTAACCGAGGATCTGCAATGTGATGAAAAGGACTGAATGGACAATGCAGTGCTAGTGAAATCTCAACAAGCAGTGTACATCCTGATACATACAACAATGGTGTTTTATAGCGCAGTTGAAGATTTAGATACAAGTCCTGACCTGATCGGGACTGACCTCTTTCACGTAGTACAAGATAGAGAAGCAGAAGGCTAGAATACTAATGACGAGCCCAATCAATGTTGCAATGCAGACTAAACATACATCATTATCACCACAAGGTGTGAAGAGGCCTGGCGCTATACATAGGAAGAGGCGCCAGGTCCAGACATGCACAGCCAAAGAGGAGGGGAGAGATGGGAAAGTCTTCAACTGTTACACCAAGTCTCGTTACAAGTCCCAAATAATCCCTCGTCAAAATGTCTGCAGCCCATGTCGAGTCTGGGTCCAAATGTCACCAATCTCTCTCTCTCTCTCTCTCTCTCTCTCTCTCTCTCTCTCTCTCTCTTAGGCTGCTGATGCAGTGAAGTCAGGAAGCGAGAGGGTGAGAGGGAGATGGTGGACTGAGAAGAGGAAGAAGACAAGAAGAAGACAAGCCAAAAAAACCGATCAACAACGGAGGGCCAAGTTACCAAAGTTGTACTCAACCGAACACCGCATAGCAAAACCACGCATACACCTTGACGCGTTTCGACTTGGTGCGTGTCCAAGTCTCATCATGAGGTTATGGAGGAGTATAACTCCTCTTCAAATCACATCTCTTGCCTCTGTCCCACACCCTTCTTCTCTCCACCCTCAGTCCTTCTACCTCGTCACTTTCATGGCATGTCAGGCTGGTAGTACCTACAAGCACAAATCGTCTCCTCACTCTCATCCCTCACAGCCAGGAGATGGGCACGATTCGGAGGTACCTCAGATAACTGGCGCGTCGGAAAACCACTAGAGGTCAGGAATATATCTTTTTTTTTTTTTTTTTTTTTTTTTTTTCAAAAAGGGGCCCAGTGCCCAAGGCTGATATTAGAGGTCAGGAATTTATCTAGGTATGTATAGCAGGGAGTTCCGACTGGTGGCACACTGAGTTTTTTCTGATCTACCGACCCTCTGCATACCCGGCGCCCGAACCCGTCGAGGCCCGGTCTTTTTGAAGTCCCTACACCGGAATTCCTCCCTCAAACGTGTCCAGATTCATCATGAGATCATCTTTCTTCGGAGGGGCCCAAATACCTAACGGGAGAGAACCAAAAAAGAAAGAAAAATTAAAATTTGGCCAGTATACAGGAATTCCAGCCCGTCTCTGACCCGGGCGTACAGCTTACTCACGAGTCAGGTGTGCCCAAAAAACACTGCTCCTGTGTAACCGTACCAATGGTCCTCCGAAAAACACAATCGAGGAACGGAGAACCCCAAAAAACATTTTGAGGATACGGAAGTCAGGGAGTGTGAGAATTGTAAAAAACTTGTAATTTCTTCCTAATCTAGCTTCGGAGAGTACCAAAAACCTGGCAGTGGGGGTACACCTGTTCTACGTAGCACCGTGTTCGCGTTCGGAGGCGAACGCGAACAAGCGCCCAAAACCCTCCGAACGCGAACATAAAAAATATTTAAAAAAAAAAACAAAAAAACGTTCTCAGGAAAATCTGAAAAAAACATATGTATGGTAAAATAACAATATAAGCAACTTTTGCCTTGGAGTCATGTTCAAATTCGTAGCCAATCATGAGTCAAAAATAAAAAACCGAAAAAAAAAATATATATATATATATCGTCAAATATATATATATTATAGTTGTGGCGCACGACGGTGCGCCGGTTTGCGCACGAACAGCGCACGCTGCGCCGCGCACCGCACGGCGCACCGCTGCGCCCCAAACCGGGAAAAATAAGGGTTTGCCAAAAAAAAAAAAAAATCGGTTTTCGTTGCCAAGGCGGGCCCCCACCCCGGCAAAAATGACGGCCGGGGCGCGCGAGTCCAGAAAATGGTCGCACCCCGCCTCCGAAATTTTTTTTGGGGGAAGGCCCTGCCGATTTCGAAATTTCGAAATCGGCAGCCGTAGATCCGAATAGAGATCTGCGGGTTCTGGCTGTCACCCTCCGCCGCACGTGATCGAACTGAATAGAGATCTGCGGGTTCTGGCTGTCACCCGCCACCGCACGTGATCGAAAACGCCTGCGGCGTCGTAGAATACTTCGCTAGTGGGACGAGGCCCCTGAGTTCACCTGTATTTTTTTAGAAATGAATTGCTGTTTTTTGCAGGCGTATGAGGTGTTTTAAAAAGATGCAAATGCAAAATTTGAAAATAAATAAAGAAAAAACATCAAAAAAGGGGTTTGATTGATTGATTGTGAGTGAGTGAGTGAGTGAGTGAGTGAGTGTGTGTGTGTGTGTGTGTGTGTGTGTGTGTGTGTGTGTGTGTGTTTGTTTGTGTGTGTTTGTGTGTGTGTGTGTGTGTGTGTGCG